TTTTGAATTTCCCCATTTTGACAAATGATTCATATCTCCGACCTCTGAAACCTCCAGATACCAATTTTGAATAGAATCTAACCCTAATTCCAAATTCGTCCGCCATATTGGATCGACCATTTCGAATTTCCAAATTTTGACGAACGAACCATAATATCCGACCCCGAAAACCTTCCGATACCAATTTTGAATATAATTGGATCATAATTACAAAACTCGTCCGCCATATTGGATCCGCCATTTTGAATTTTCTAATTGTGATGAAAAAATCTCAATCTCCGACCTCGAAAACCCCCTGCAGATACCAATTTTGAATGGAATCTGACCATAATTACAAAACTCGTCCGCCATATTGGATCCGCCATCTTGAATTTCCAAAATTTGCCGAAAGAATCATAATCTCCGACCCCAAAAACCCCCAAATACCAATACTCGTCCGCCATATTGGATCCGCCATCTTGAATATTCGATTAAAAAAATAGATTATGACCGATTCTCACGACGAACGGTCGAGCCGTTTCGGAGGAGTTCGACCACTAACACCGTGACCGGGACAGGAAAATTTTATATATTAGATTTCTATTGTAAAGGTGAATCCGTTTAATAAATAAATAAATAAATGAATAAATAGCCACAATGCTCAAAGTGGAATGAAATGTTAAATAAATACAAAAAAGCAGAATCACTTGAATCAGTATTCGTTTATTCGAGTCGATGCATAGATTTCGGGAGGATGTTCTGCGTGGCATTTGCCAGGAAAGTAGTTATTTTTCTCCCGAAATCTACCATTGTTGTTCATTTTATGAACATTGTGTAGAAATGATTTCGAGCTCATAATGGCCAGTTCATAGAAATTATTTAATTTATATTCAACTCAATAGTTGAAATATCAGTCTTACATGTAAGCGTTCATAGAATCTTACTTATTGCTTTCATGTAATTTATATTTAATTTAGTAAATAAATATATTTAATGGAATATGCTGTACATGTATTACTGTATTCCCTGTATAGTTGAAGATATATTGCGACACTCTGTTGAAATGATTGAAACCAGTACCAAAAATTGTATAGAATCAGTATTAAATCTTTTTGAATGAGTTGTCCGAACTCTTATCTAACTAATACCATCCAGTGACCCTCAATCATACCTATACAATACACAAGTCGGTATAGTTTTCAAGCATTCACACCAAAAATCTAACATGTTCATGAACAATAGCCATGTGTTCCCTTGCCACCTTTTTTTATGAAAACAAAGCGACCATATTTTCTTGTCCACCTGTCACATCATCATAGATGTTTTCCTTATCCGCAAAATCATGTACCTCAGAAGGTAGGTATATAACAAATATCAATTTCATTTCGTTGATCAAGATCCAAATCTTCCGCAATAGCTTCTGATTCCCTGAGAGTCAATGGTCTCCGCGAGTCATTATTGCCAACACACACAGCATTGTGCTAACAAAAAATACGCAGTCCTCAAGATAACAATATTCTAATCTCAACCTTCATATAGCATTGCGTAAATGAAAAGATCCTACACCGAAGAATGAACATACCTACTTATTCGCTAGAAGTAAAACTACAAGTTCTGACAGGAACATTGCTGGCTCAAGCAAATACACAGTTCGTTCCAATGTTGCATTTTCGCAACCTTATATTCATACAACAAAAATTGTATTTTTGATGTTGCGTGTTCGCAATAATTTCAATAAATGGGCCCTTTGCTTCGACATATTGACAAAAATCATTGACAATAAGAAACCGACTCAAAGTTGAAAATATCGACCAGTACGGCGAAAACGACAAGATGAAAGTCCCAATGGAAAATAAACAATGAAAGAGACGTCTATGAATAATTTGCAACGAATGAGCCACTGTTTGAATGTCTATCAGAACATTTTTGTCAAAAATGATGTGTTCTATATTTTGCGTTTGCCCTGCATACTTGGGCTATGGTATATTCTGTCTCCCAATATCATCAGTGTTCACGGAGTGTAGAAAAATATAAATGCATGCATGACTTTAGAAAACAATCAACTATTCTCTTTCAGTTATTAATTTATGAAGAAAAACAACGGAATAGTCCAAAACAAAAAGTAAATCGGGCGATTCCTCTAGAAAATACGGTTTCAAAAAACGTTCAAATTTTGAGTGGCCCGCTTCATGTATTGCGAACTCTAAATATAGCCGCGATTTCCTAGCTATGTTTTTCCAGCCTCAGACAATGGCATACATGGACAATCCTGCTAAGCACTTGAAAAAAAAATCCTAAAAAGCGACGTCTTCAGTTTTTCTCATTGCGATATCACTATAATGAGTAAAGCTTGAAATCTTACTTAATCATCGTGGAGATAATAGGTATATATTGAAATTGTTAGGCACCTTCCTTTTGTCGACATACAGACTGGTCCAACGAAAAGTATACCCCTCTTTTCATTTTTTCCGAATTTATAGAAAAAATGCTCGGACAAGTAGAATTTGCTTTGGAGGGGGACACATTTTAGAAATATTCTTCAGCCTGTGCCTTCAACCCCCTAGCGAGGGGGTGTCACCACCCTAGATAGATAGATAATATTCATTTGTTCTTTGAAATCAAATCCTAAAAATAGGCGTAGAACTTGTCAATACATAATATATAGGTACACAAAAAATAACAAAAGAATATGAAATAATTATAGTACAAATACAATACAGAAATATTACAAGAGCGTATGTAGGACATACATTCACAGACATAAAAATATCACATAAATGATGTAGATGTATTAAAATTGATCTATAGTTGCTGTCAGAGAAATACTCTTCTATTATATAATATGCTTTTGATATAAGAATATCTTTCAGCTTGGGTTTGAGTTTTTTTGGAGGCAATATGAGCGATTTTGGTAGCTTATTATTAATTTGTATCACAGTAAATGGTATATTTTTTTGAACATATGTCAAGTTAGTTTTCATACTCAATAAGTGATACTTGTGTCTCGTATGATGTTCATGATGATCTCTAGTATATCCTGGAAATAAGTCCATGTTTTCGGCAACAAACATTACTGACTCATATATTATGAGACATATCAGTCATTATAATTAGAGTTGCTGTACTACTAAAACCCCAAAATATACCATACCTGATACGTGATTGTACATAAGCATTATAGGACAATAAAGCAACTTCTGGGGAAATATGTAGTGAAATAACTTTCCGGCATAACTATAACTCGATATACTTGACGATAATTTTTTAATATGACATTTTCAGTTAAATCTTGTGTCAATTGTGAAACCCAGAAAAGAAATTGATGAAGCGGTATCGATGGCAGTCTCATCTCTGAAAGTTTTTTCAATATTGGATTGATTTTGGTTGAAATTTATGATTTGTGTTTTATCTTTATTGAGCTTCAGTTTATGTGCCAAAGTAAATATCTAGGGAGTCGAGCGTTGAGAAAATCTTCCTCTGCATATCAACATGATCAATGGATGAAAATATTATAGAGCAGTCATCTGCATATTAACAATTTCCTCATTTGTTGCATTGCATATATCGTTCGTATAAAGTATATAGTGATATAGTATAGTAATGGCCCAAGAGTGGATCCTTGAGGTACACCCATTTTTATTATTCTATAATCAGATCGCATAAATTGACCTGCTTTATCATACTCAGTAATGTATTGTCGTCTATCACTTAGGTAGGAAGATATTAGCTGGAGAGGTTTTCCTCTAATCCCAAATGAATCTAATTTCTTCAATAAAACATTATGATCTACACTATCTAATGTTTTAGACAAATTCAGGTTAACAGCGGTTGTATATTTTTGGAATTTAATGGAAAGTGGGCTCCAGTGATATATCCTTTGACAGGTCACAAAAATATATTCCCAATGGTACTCTATTTCTAGGAATTCACACAAACAGTTAATGAGAAAACGGCTTTAAGAACGTTAACCTGATAATTTTGGTTTTGTGAAAAATATAAATCGTATGGAATTAAATTATTTACAATCAGTAGTACGTTTCATTATTTGTTACTTGTAACAGTGCTTTGTAAGAGGAGGGTAAACAAGCTGTTACATTGATTTTTCAACACGTTGACAAATATTGAAAAAGAATATTCTGAGATAAATTATGAACATGAAAAAATGGTTACATATAAAAAGAAATACCTTGAGAATTCGCATCTATGTGATGAAAATATCTTCTTTCTCGGTTTATTCAACAGACAACAACTACTTTCCTGGCTATATGCCATCACGAACATTGAATTATATTTATTGAACACACATGATAAGAATTTAAAAACAAAATCTTCTGAAGTTGAGAATTTGTTTTCTCCTTCAGATGGAAATATGTATGCATTATTCTGAATATTCAACAGAGAACAACTACTTTCCTGGCCACGTCGAACATTGAATTATATCTGTTGAACATCCAAAAGGAGAGCATAAAAAATAAAAATCCTCTGAAATTGAGAATAGCCATTCTCTCTCAAATCGGATAATAGTATATTACGTAATATGTGTTGTAAGAAGCATATTACGCACGAATGGAAAAGTTACGCACGTAGCCTCGGAGCGGCGAGTTCGTAATTCCATCGATAACAAAATGAGAAACATAATAGTGGAAGAGGCACTGCTCACATTATTAAAATAAGATTAATTTATTCATATGGTTTTCAACATCAAATTGGAACAGGCAACTAGAATTATGTGAATTTTCAACCATATTTTGTATAAATAAAAAGAAGAAATTGTATGTCCGACTTCTAACAGAATGGCGCCTGCGCAAGTCACACTCCTACTTGTATTTATCATCAAGAGATGAAAATTGGCCATCTTTTAGCAAACAGCTAATGAAAGATACAAATTAATTTGGGTGCATAAATTATTGAACGGAAATCCCAAGTTTCAACTCATTGGTGAAATCGCTAATGATTGTGAGACTAGATTAATGAAAAAGCGGCGTGCATAAATCCGCCTTAAGAATGATATTTTCGAGATAAATTAGACAGTGCCTCTTTCACTATCTTATCTCTCATTTCGTTATCGATGAAAATTTTGACGCGAAATTAGAGGGTCGGATAGTACTCGATACTTCAAAATGAGGTATCGAGTACCTCCTCATCCCCATTCCAAATCAGGGGGTTGTTCTTCCCCTGGTAGGGGGTTGAAGTTACGGGGATGAAGAGAGCAGAAAGTTCTTTCCCCCTCGAATCAGAAATCGTCGAGCATTTTTCCGGAATTCCATTTTAAAGCCCTGAAGTCGGGGTGTAAAGTTTTCGTTGGGCCACCCTGAATTCATGTCCCAATAGAGAAGAGTTCTTTCTTGTTGGTTAATCTTCAATGGAAACTCATCTATCATGTTGTTGTTGGTAAACATTTTAGATACAGCGCAATATGCGTGATAACGTCGGCGTATTCGCGATGGAAAAAACACGTCACTAGAAAAACATGCCTGAAATCTCAATATGACCTGAGAATGCATTTTATATAAAAAACAATAATTCTCCTTCAGGCTTCAATAGTTGGCGGCACCCAACCACCGAAAGCCCTCTCAATTTCCCTGGCCACGGCCAAACATAACCTATCATTACCGTCTGCCGCCACAACTTGCACTCCTATCGGTAGCCCTTTTTTATCCAGCCCCATGGGACAGTGGGTGGAGGGAAAGCCCAAGACGTTGATCACTGCCGTGTAACTGAAGTTGAAGGGTTTCACCAGTGGTTCGTTGTGGTATGGAGCGCTAGTGGGATGGGTAGGATACAAGAATACCCCGTCATCTCCTAGCAAGTCTGTGAGCTCCCTTCTCAGAGCATCCCTTTGCTCGACGAGGTACTTGTATTTTTCGTCTCCGTATTGTGTTCCCCAGTTTTCCGCAAAGCAGGTTACAATACCGATGAATGTGTGTTCTGAAAGTCTGAGGACCCACTTGACTAATTCCCACCATGGATTTATTGAGCCGTTGAGGTTGGCTAGTTGCTCTTGAAACGTGGGTCCACATGGAGATTTCATGTTGGCAAGCCACATTGGGGCGCTCTTTGAGAATTTCTTGTAATTAACCTGAAAAAATATAACCTATTATGATGAAGGCTTACAATAGAATAAACAATGATCAGAAGCGGTTTAGATATGGAGTATTTCTATAAAAACAATTGAATACAAATTATTGAAGAAGTAGCTATGTTTTTTCGATAGTTAAATAGATAAGTATATCCTTTATTATTTCTTCGAATAATTACTGGAGATACAGGATGAAAACAAATCGCTTTCAGGAGAAAAAAACAATAGTCATTTGAATTTCAAATGATATTTTCTGAAATAGAAATGACACTTTCTGAAATTGAATCAACTATTCTGAAATACAATTGACGCTTTCTGAAGTACAAGTGACTATTCTGTAATACAATTGATGCTTTCTGAAATTCAATTGACAATTCTGTAATACAATTGATGCTTTCTGAAATTCAATTGACTATTCTGAAATACAATTGATGCTTTCTGAATACATTTGGAAAATGTGTAGTACAAAATTTTCATAAGCATTTTCCAAGTACAATGATTTTTGATTACTTGTGTTTCTGAATAGAATTTATGATCATTTAAAATACTCCAATAAAATGGGAGGCCATGTTTGAGATGAATAATTCAATCAATTTCTTAGATTTGACAATAAGTAAAATTAACGATAAACATGATTTTTCAATTTTCCATAAATCTTCCCACAATGATATCACTATTCATAATAATTCAACACACAGCATATAATAGTATGATACACAGGCTAGTGAATGTCCCTCTTTCGGAAGTAAATTTCAATAAAGAACTCAATATCATAAAGCAGATTGCAGTCAACAACAGATACAACGTTGATTTGATAGACAGTATTCTTTCCAAGAAACTTCATAATAAAGCTATTCAAGAAGTTTATCCTACCATCAAGAATAATAATCAAAGTTATAGAACTTTAACCTATTTCGGATCATCAACTGAGAAATTAGCTACATTTCTACATAAACAGGGCTTAAAAGTGGCATATAGAAAAAATAACACGTTGGGACGATTTATCAAGAATAATAAAGACAAAACTTCTAAATTCGAATAATCAGGGGTATACAAACTCAAATGTGGATCTTGTCCTAAGGTATATATCGGTCAGACAGGTCGTACATTTAATCAGCGCATTCATGAACATAAGATGAATTTTATGAAAAAGATATCAAATTCAACATACGCCAACCATATATTAAAAGAAAACCATAGTTTTGATGATAATTTCGAAATTCTGCACGTAGAAAATGAAGGACTGAAACTCAATCATTTTGAATCATTAGAAATCAACAAATTCAAAAATTTTGACATTTTACTTAATGATCAATTAGACCTCAATAATTCACCACTGTTGAATTTGTTTTCTTAGTAAGTAATAATATGTATTTGCTATCAACTCTTTCAAGTTAATCCGGTATACCGTAATTTAATGTAGATATTGTGCCTAATTTCCGAAAATGGAGGTTTATCGTACCTGTCCACAGGTAACTAATCCTTCAGGTTGGGAAAGTAAGATATATGAAAGTTAAGCAAGCCAACGTTAGTTCAGTTCATTGTACCAGTATATCACCTGACGAAGCTACTGTGTTAGCGAAACATGTCGTGTGTTTGAGAATGTTGTGGAAATCTTATCGTTTGTGAAGTTTTTACATTTGTCATGGATTTCCATCAAGTAACGGCCGAGTCAATTCAAAAACTGATAGATGTTCTTGAACGCTATGGTATCAGAGGTACAGTGTTGAAAATTCAAGGACTGGATGACATATGATTTCATTCAACTAGTTAAAAAGAGGGATAAAATCTATCAGGAAATGAAAAAAACACCCCAGGATGGTGATAAGAGGTCTGAATTCAAAAGAATAAAAAATATTGTGAACAGCAAAAGAAATCAGTTGAAAAAGGCATACTTTAAGAATAACTGGGAAGCTGCAGGGGAGAACTCAAATAAACAGTGGACCTTTATAAATAAGCTCTTAAGAAATAAAAAAGGGAATGACGAGGTAATTCAAAGTCTAAATATTGAGGGTGATATAATTACAGATACTAATGAAATTGTAAAAAAATTCAATGAATATTTCTCTAATGTTGGACGGAAAATAGTTGACAGCTTGGAAGAGGAGGGCGGTAGTACAGACATTGGTGATTTTAGGGAGATAACATGTGATCACACAATATTTATAGATGATACAAACATAAACGAAATCCAGGATACATTGAATAATATCAAAATAAAAGCATCAGCAGGGCATGACAGCATTTCTATGAAAAACATAATATCAATCAAAACATGGCTTATTCATATATTGGTGAGGCTTATAAATAAAGTATTTGAGACGGGAAAATTCCCAGAGATTCTAAAGATTTGTAAAGTAATACCTATACATAAAATAGGCCCAAGAACTGTCCTAGAAAATTTTAGACCTATAACAATTGTTAGTGTATTTTCAAAAATCATAGAAATGATAATAAAAAATCGTATCCTCTCTTTTATAGAAAGTTGTGTTAATACAGATGCATATCAATATGGGTTCCAAAAGAAGAGCAATACTCAAAGTGCAACTACTGATGTTATCAATTATATTTCCAGCAAAATGGACAATAAAGAAATAGTAATATCAGTATTTGTGGATTTGAGAAGGGCATTTGTTGTTGTTGACCATAAAACTCTTTCAAATAAACTAACCAATATGGGATTAAGAGGAAAAATGGTATTATTACTTGAAAATTATCTGACTGACAGAAGTCAATATGTTAGTATTGGTAAATTCAATAGTCCAATAATAAAGATCAATTGTGGGGTGCCCCAAGGCTCTGTGCTGGGACCCTTATTGTACTCTCTACACGTACTAAGCTTAAAACTTGCTGACCTCGGCAGTCGGTATTTTACATTTGCGGATGACAAAATACTGATTTACAGTGGTATAGATCCTAATGATCTAGAAACTTCCCTTAACAATGACCTTCAAAAATATAATAAATGGTTGCTGCACAATAAACTTAAAATCAATACTTCGAAAACAGTTTATATGATATTCAAACAGAAAAACACTGAATGCAAAGAAATGCAGTTAAAGGTTGGTGATAACTTGATAAGTAGAGTAGAAAGTACTAAGTACTTAGGTCTAATAATCGACGAAAAACTAAATTGGCATAAACATACTGAATATATAAAGTCAAAAATGATTCCAATGATAGGTGCACTGTATAGATGTAGAGATTATCTTGATGAACGTAACTACCACTTAATCTACAACTCATTCTTCTTGGCACACTTCAGATATCTTATAACCATCTGGGGTACATGTGGTAGAACTAATTTCAAAATGATGCAAACCCTTCAAAATAAGATTTTTAAAATACTATTCAATATTCATAATAGAACACCTACAGAAGAAGTTTACATTCAAACCAAAATTGCCCAAATTAATAAAATATTGGTTCTGGAACAATGCAAATATATCTACAAAATCACGAACAACCAACAAAAATGCAATGGTCATCTTGATCATATCTACCAAATTCACTCTCATGACACACGAAACAGGATTAACATTCACTTGGGCAATGCTAGAACTGAAATTGGACTGAACAATCCAATGAATAGAAGTATAGAGTCGTACAACGCATTACCTATGACAATAAAAAATATAGACACTTTTAACTTATTTCACAAAGAACTGAAACGGCACTTGGAAATGTAATATAATATTGTAATTTAGATATAGGCCTCTTTGGTATCCCCATATTACTGCTTTCTCTGTTGTTGTTCACCATTGTTAAATAATACTAATAGTCTTTTTATTCTTATTATCTTTATTTCAATATTCTATATTATTGTTATACGTTATCTGGAGCATCTACATATTGTTATTGTTAACTAGTAGATGTAAATATGAAAATAATCACTTAAATGTAGTTCTAATGTTGATACAGTAGTAATCTGTTGGTATACATGTATTGCATTGAGATCACACAATTTATATTTCCACACATGTCATGTTATGAAAATATCATTATTCCGATACCAGCAAGCTTCAAATTGCTGTTTAGGAATTATATTGGATCACCGGGAAGTATATTCTTATTTAAATTAGGCTATACATATGTTTGAACTTGTATTTCTTATTCTATAGTGAAATATGCTGATGACACTGTTTTGGTTTTTGAAGACAATTATTGGGACAGCGTAAAAAATAAAGCCATTCGCGGTACCACTAAAGTCAAACATTGGCTAGATCTCAATAGGTTATCCCTAAACAATTCACATCGCTTTTTCACTCAATAAAACAACACGACCAGACTTCAAATCTATAAGAATTCATGATTTCACCGACCCAATCAATGAAACAAATATGGCTAAATATCTGGGAATAGCTATTGATGATAATCACGAATGGAATGCACATGTTCTAGATATTACAAAAAAAAATTAGAAGATTTATTTATAAATGTTACCAACTAAAAAATATACTCAGTAAAAAATCTATGATGATGGTCCATGAGTCCTTAGTAGAAACAGTCATAAGATACGGAATTCTAGTGTGAGGTGGACTGTATGATAATGTATTACAACAACTCAATATAATACAACATTATATTTTAAAAATTATATATTTCAAAAACAGATATTCTTCAACTGCATTAGTCTATAATAAATATATCCTGAATGTTCGACCGCATTATTTTTTGGCAAATTGTATCTTCACAAAAAAAAGACAAATCCCAGGACCACATAACTCATCATTATGAAACCAGAATTAAATCCAGAAGCAATCTGTCTACTGCATTCGTAAACAAGGACATAAGTCAACGGTTTTCCGCATTTCTTGCTCCTAGAATATTCAATTTACTACCACCATGACTGAGAAATATTAGAGAAAGCTTAAAACATTTTCTGTCAAATGCAAACTTTTCATACACCAAAATCTAAACTCATTTGTCAAGTTCCTGTGAAAATTTTCGTACAATAAGTTAGGTAAGGTAGGTATCTACATCTGCCAACATTACTTTAGTTCTCCATTCATTTATTTATAGTCATCAGTAACATCAGTTAGTTTAAATAAATTAGGTATTATATGTACACCTTCGACTGGACATGATGCACATCACAGGTGAACTGCACACCTAGGTGCTAATACTTGATACAATGTGTAATTTTTTTTATCATGATATTTACTGCGAACAGTTGTAACTATTGTATTTGTAATAAATTTTAATTTGTATGTGTCAAATAAATGAGATATCTATCAAAAAAATCCCTGAAACCACCCGATGTCCCAAAACTTCGACATATCATGCGTTTGTCGAAAATTATGGTAACCATTGAAAGTGCAGACAGTCGATTTTCCACTTTTTGGAATGAAATTATTTGTAATACTGGAATTGACATCTCCCGATTTACTCAAATCTTAAAGAAACATGTTTAAATCAAATATGTATCTGGGAACTCCAAACATCTGTTCACAAAATAGGATGTCTCTTCCGCAGTTTCCCAAGCAGAAGTTCAAAATGAGATGAGTCAATATAAATTTGACAAATGCAAATGATGATTGCCCAAATAAATCAAAAAATCAATGACAAAAAGCTGATAGGAAGAAAGCGAAATGTAATTATAGGTAATAACGGCTCTATATAACCAAATGTGATGATTTTACCAAAATGATACAAAAACACTTTCCGGAAGCCACATGCGGAGAAATGGTTCCAACATATCCAGGCTTATACTCCTCCTTCGAACTGTCCATCTATGGTAACCATTTGAAATTTGCAATGAATCTGGCAATTTTCAACCCAAACCTGCTCCTTGTCAATGTGAACACTTCAAAATACGGAAAGGTTGATTCGAAAAATACTGAAGTATGTGAGTTCGACAACATGAATTTTCTATGCATTGTAGAAACTGGTTTGAACGAAGATGCCCTTAAAACTGTGAGTCTTAATGGATATGATTTGATTAGCTACTATTGTAGGAATAATGTCATGTGGCGGAATCGCCATCTGGGCAAAAAAATGTGTAGTGGTAAATCAAGTAAACTTGAGAAACTTTTGTATCCAGCGACACTTTGAAATATGTGCCTCGAGTTTTGAAAATATGGGTGTTTTAAATATCTTACTGAATTGTTATCGATCTCCATCTGGAGATGAGGAAATATTTTCATATAACGTAACCCGTTTTAAATTACCTGCATAAACCCATGGTGAGGTTTATCATCTGTGGAGATTTTAATTTTGATGTTTGAAACAATAAATATTTTACGGAACTATGTAATGTGATGTCAACAGTTAACTATTTGCCTATTGTGGAGTGGCCCACTAGAGTTACAAAGGATTCATGTACTATAATTGATAAAATTTTTATCAATTTTAGTAATAGTGGCATATGCTGTGTTGAAGATAATATTTTTTCAGACCACAGAAGTGTACTTTTGGAACTCGAAATGTTTAATGAAGCTAGGGAATATTCACAGATAAAATTTAACAGGGTTTGACAAAGTTTCAGTGATTCAAACCTAAAAAAATTTGAAAATGCCCTTATCCTTGAGGATTGGTACTTTCTATATAATATGGAAGATCTTGATGAGGCTTTTGAGTCATTTTATGACATATTCATATTCCATTTTGAAACTTATTTCCAGAAACGAAAATATTATAGTAATAACTGTTATAATAAAAAATGGGTGAATGATTCTATAATTTCATCAAGTTCTTCCCCCAAAGAATTAGCGATTCTTATAAAACTATGTCCTTCTTTGAATGACACTTATCGAACGGCCAAAAAAGGACATATATCGTTGGTTAATAAAACTAAAAAACATATTATCAAAACAAAATTACTAAACAAAGGAGGGAAGGAATGCTCGAAGTCATCTCCACAAATTTGTGATTCAAGATTAATTAATGAAAACATCCTGTAACTCATTTGTAGACTAAAATCACTCATTCATATGTCAACATCAATATGAAACTGAAAGGAGTCAAACTATAAGCAGCACAACTTTCAAAGAAGAAAAATTTGCATTTACATGTTGAGAACGGGAGCAGATTCGGTCTCGAAACGTCCAAAGATGAGTGAAAATTCGATATTTTTTCAATATATCTATATTTCTTTCCTTCAAACATTTTTTCAAACAAATTGTCACTGACAAGCTACTGGATTTTTCTTTTAGACTCCCTGATAGAAAAATTTTTTAAACGCAGTGACATTTTGGGACAAATCATCTGATTTGTCCCACTACAAATATATTGAAATAATACGAATATTTTTATTTTATAGAAACGAGGAGAGAAAATCCCAAAGAATCAAGTAAAATGAATGTGTATTATGTATTTCAAAACAAATATAATTCTGTAGCTAATAAGAATATTCATAATATCGATACTATAAGTAAAAACTCATTTCATATGACTTATGCCACATTTAAAATAACTTCTGTTGCTCCGAACCATATAGCACCAAAAATGTTCAACCATCTACCTGATTTTTTGGGAAATATTGTATCCATTTCCATGTTCGAACGGAAACTAAGATATTTTACACTTTAAAAATGCTTTTAAAGTGTAGGAGAATTTTTCTCCTCGAGTCTTTTGACTTTGACATTGACTATTCCCATATAATACTTGTATTATCCAAGTGAAAATAAATAATTATTATTATTATTATTATTATCAATACACCATTATCAATTCTTTTTTTGTCACATAGGAATTTTAGGAAGAGATAAAAAATATAATGTTATTTATAGTTATAAACTAGTTCTGGTATAAGTAATTAACAATAATAATACAATTATTAAAAATTCATGAATAATATGATATCTAGTGAACAAAAATCAGCTTTAATTGCTAAGGTACTACAAGTTGACAAAAACAAATCAATCATCTATTTCGTTCAGAAATTATTAGTTTTTTGCGTTCATATTCCAATTTGATTTCATTCCTGCATTTTTTTATGCAGTATATTAATAAAGTGATTTATAATATTCAAATAGAGCAAGAACGGGTGATTTTTTTGTCCTATTGAGAAGTTAGCAACATCTAGAAGAAATAAATCATGTTGTAGGTATAGGTTGGTAATCATGAATTTCATTATGTAATTTCAAACAAACATATTGAATTTGTTTACCTCAATACTTATTAAATGTCTTCATAGTTAGATTCATATGGAACCCATAATATCTTTTTGTTGATAAACATGTCATGCAATAACAAACTATAACTATTTTAAGTAAATTCATCATACCTTTGTCATCTTCATTGTATAGGCCTTTTCCAAATGCTTCGAAATTTTGGTGAATAATTCTCTAATCTCTCCAGAAACTGGCGAAATGAAGATTGAACCGCTGTCTGTATCTTGATAAAACCATCTTAATTTTTTAACATCAACCTGTAAATAACAATGGACTTATCATGATAATTATAAATAAAAAAAAATCAATGAGTTTTAAAAAAACCCTTTTTATTTTCGAACCGAGTTTCGAACGCGTCAACAGATTTGAGAAAATGAAAATTTTGAAATACAGTGTCTATCGAGATGTCTATAAGATAATGTTGAAAAAAACTGGAAAAGATAGAACATATATTTTTGGATGTATGACAAATTGATATTGATCATGCAGGACGTGGAAAGAAATTCTAAATTGAGAAATTGAGAAAACCTAATCACGAATCTGCGATTGAAGTGATTAGGTTTTCTCAAATTAGAATTTCTTTCCACGTCCTGTATGATGAATATCAATTTGTCATACATCTAAAAAAGAATTGAAGTCAACAACAATTCTCGGATCTCAGAGTTCCGTTATAATTTTAGTTATATCATAGATTAATGACTAACCCTAGATATACACCGCCCATGTATTTAGACAGTAACGCTTGTTTGGGACCTAGTTGGGACCTGGCATTCTGACCATCTGTCGCCGCTATTGCGAATTTCCGAGCTCCGTCGCGAACTCGAGTTTTTTCCAGATTTCTTCAAGATGGCATTCTGCGTATAGAAGCGGAGTTGTCAAATGTTAGTTTTTGTTGGATTCCTAATAAATTGGTAAGTACATGCATAGATTTAGATCATTATTAATCTACGGATACTACAACCAAAATTATTTGTAGTATGAGAATTCCGTGGTAGGTATAAGAGATTGCAATCTATGGTATGATGATATTTTATTAGTTTTCCATTGTGATGTGTTATCGATGTGCCTACCTGGAGCTGGAAAATTCAAGAACGTGAGTTGACAAATAAGCATGAGTGTGAGAATGTGAAATTTTAGGAATTTAATTGATCGAAAAGTTGACGAGTTCAGAAGCTGAAGATGCATTTGGATATGTGGCACTGTTTTTAGTCAATGAATTGACTGTTTATATAATATGTGCTGAACTATTTTAAGCGAAAGAAAATCATGGCAATTGGAAAGATGAAATGTTGAAAAGTTTAATGATCAACAAGTTGAAAATTGATATGAATTGATATTGGGTGAGTATTTGTTTTAGAGTAAACCGCTGGTGAATATATAGGATTACTGTTCCATTAATTTTCTATGAAAAGGTGGGAAGTTCTGAAGCAAGAGGAATGAATCATTGAAATGTTATGTATTTTGGTTGTGCAATTCATTCAAAATATTACCATATGTTGCACACTTAAATGACCACACTATATGATGGATCCAATATGTCGGACGAGTTTTGTAATTATAATCCGATTCTTTTCAAAATTGGTATCTGGGGGTTGTTGGGGTGGAATTTTATGATTTTTCCGTCAGAATTAGGAAATTCAAGATGGCGTATCGAATATGGCAGACGAGTTTTGTAATTAATCCGATTCTATTCAAAATTGGTATCAGGGGGTTTTCGGGATCAGAGATTATGATTCTTTAGTCAAAATTAGAAAATTCAAGATGACAGATCCAAAATGGCGTATGAGTTTTGTAATTATATGATCTAATTATATTCAAAATTTGTATCTGGGGTTTTCGAGCTCGAAGATTATGATTCTATAGTCAAAATTGGGAAATTCAAGATTGCGGATCTAATATGGCGAAAAAGATTTCTAATTATGATCCGATTCAGACCAATTCTGAATAGCATCGAATCATAATTACGAAATTCGTCCACTATATAGGATTCGCCGTCTTGAATTCCACAATTTTGACGAAAGAATCATAATCTCCATACATACATACATACATACATACATACATACATACATACATACATACATACATACATACATACATACATACATACATACATACATACATACATACATACATACATACATACATACATACATACATACATACATACATACATACATACATACATACATACATACATACATACATACATACATACATACATACATACATACATACATACATACATACATACATACATACATACATACATACATACATACATACATACATACATACATACATACATACATACATACATACATACATACATACATACATACATACATACATACATACATACATACATACATACATACATACATACATACATACATACATACATACATACATACATACATACATACATACATACATACATACATACATACATACATACATACATACATACATACATACATACATACATACATACATACATACATACATACATACATACATACATACATACATACATACATACATACATACATACATACATACATACATACATACATACATACATACATACATACATACATACATACATACATACATACATACATACATACATACATACATACATACATACATACATACATACATACATACATACATACATACATACATACATACATACATACATACATACATACATACATACATACATACATACATACATACATACATACATACATACATACATACATACATACATACATACATACATACATACATACATACATACATACATACATACATACATACATACATACATACATACATACATACATACATACATACATACATACATACATACATACATACATACATACATACAGTCGTCTTCAGAAAACATGTCGCCCATGGACGATGATAGCATTCTTAATAACTCCTGCAATAAGAGCGCTGACACCGACCAACCGCGACATGATCTCTGAAGACGACTGTACATACATACATACATACATACATACATACATACATACATACATACATACATACATACATACATACATACATACATACATACATACATACATACATACATACATACATACATACATACATACATACATACATACAGGTGAAGCTAATAAAAGAGTAAAAAATCATGGAAATCATCCATATTTCTCAAAGTGGTCCAATTGATTTTTATAAGAAAAAAACAATGGAAGTCCCAAAGTCTGTCGACCAAAAAATCTTTAATAAGTAGTGTAACTAGTTTCGGCCACAGGCCATCGTCAGACACAAAAATTGATGTAATACAGTACCTAAAAGATATTAAGAACATGGTTAAGGAATCAAGAAGGGAGTCAAAAAGTTGGTATACTAACCTCAGTGATACATATCAGAAGCAAATTTTTTTTAACATTATCAAAAGCCAAGGTCGAAAAAACAAATCATCAGTCCTGAATGTAAAAAGTATTAGTTTTGAATCTGGAAAAGGTCCAGTAGAACCAGATCAACATGATATTAATGAACAGATACATCTAAAATTGAAAAGTTTCAAAAAATTCTCTCACATGAGATTCATCAGATTATGCAAATTGCAAATGGAAGATAAGACAGAATTCTAAGAATCAGAAAAATCAAAATCACATGAAACGTGAAACATGACAAACAACAAGTGACACAAGTCAATGTCAATCACACATGACATACAAATAAAATTAATATAAATGATGACCAGAATCATGACAATGACAAGTGACACCAGTCAAAAGTCAAATATGACAAAACTAATCAACATTGACAAACCAAATGAATTTTGAAACAATGGGAACAAGAGATTGGGAGGAGAAAAACAATAAACCAATATGGGTTATAATAAGTTTTGATGATAATCATTGGAATTTTAGAGTACGAAAAATCAAGCTACGTTCAAAATTGGTTTGATCATTAAGACAAGTGGAATTGGAATCATTTATATATTTTTGAATTTCTAGAATTTCCAATAGGTTCAACCTAGAACCTTTATTACAAATGTGGAGAAAATCCATATTTTCAGATATATTGAAATTATGATTGAATTCAATTATATGGTTTGAGAAAGAGGAACTAGTGTTAAAATTATTAATGCTCCTATTCCTAGTTATCAATCTATTATGTTCAGAGGCTCTAATTTCGAAACTCCGCCCAGTTTGACCAACATAGGAGGAGTTGCAATCGTTACAATTAAGTTTGTAAACTCCGGATTTTTTAGAAGTAGGGATTTTGTCTTTAGTGTTAACTAATAAGGTTTTAAGGTTGGAGTTAGCTTTGAATGAAATATTGAAATTGAAACTCAAAAACAGTTTTTCGAGTTGTACAGAGTAACTGCCAAAATAATATAAAGATTTAAACAATGGAAGTTCCTTATCCTGTGTTGTTATAACATTGAATGATAATCTAAATTCTGTGTGAAATTTGAAATAAATTTCCATTATTTGATCTAGAGGAAATTGATTATTGATAGCAATTTGTTTTATTGTATTAATTTCACTACCTATTGAAAGCCGAATCAGAAAGTGGCAAAGCAAAAGAATAATAGGGAATGACAGTATCTGTGGCAGTAGGTTTTCTGTAAACTTGAAAATCTAATCTGGAAGTATCAATGTTTTTTGTAATCAGTAGATCAAGAAAAGGTAGTTTGAGGTCATATTCTGTTTCAACAGTGAATTTAATGTTAGGATGTAATGTATTGATATAATCTAAGAAATTTGACACGTCTGAGGGAAAGCCATCAAAGAGTAGAAGGCAATCATCTACATATCTGTAATAAAACACTAATTTAGAATTAAAATGAGGATTATTCAAAAATTGTTTTTCCAAATTATTCATGAAAATTTCAGCTAACAACGGGGATAGATTACTACCCATTGCTAAACCTGTTGTTTGTTGATAAAGTTTATAGTTGAATTGAAAAAAAATTTGATTAAGAACAAGATCTAGTAATTCACAAATATTAAGAACATGGTGTGTATCAATATTATTTTGAAAAAGAAGATTTCTCACTAAAGCAATACAATCTTCTGGTGGAATACTAGGAAAAAGGTTGGTAACATCAAAAGAAACTGAAATTGAGTTAACTGGAATAGGAACATTTTTAATTTTATGTGCTAAGTCTATGGAATTCTTGACAGAATAGGCATTGTCAAAGGCAGTAAGGTCTCTGAGCAAATAATTGAGGAAAGAGGCTAGTTTAGAACAGGGTGAA